TTTTTTTTTTAACAACGTATTTACCGTGGTGAAAATACAGAACAAAAAAAATCACCATTAACAGATTTCAATGCTGCAAAATCATACACAGAAATACATCTTAAATGCTCTGGAATACAGTCATCTTCCTGTAAATCAGAAAAGGCCTTAGATAAATAGGTTTGACCTGATTTAAATTTAATGAGATACATAGTCCTGATTGTTAATAATTGGTTTGGGGGAACCCAAAACAATAAAAGCAATAATCTCCTCTAGTATAAATTATACGAATTTATTTAGCAATCAACCATGGGGGGGGGGAAGGGAGGAAAAGCCATTAACATTATCAATTTGTTTAGTTTAAGTTAGTTATAATAAGCAAATAATTGGAAGCAAAATTGCCAGCCAGGCTTTTGGAAAGACAGTAAATATGGGGAAGATGTGTGTCTGTGATGAAGCTCCAGGGCCACTAGATGGTATGGTCCTCCCAGCAGAAAGGGCTTTTTCCTTGAGAAGGACCATTCATAATCACCCAAACCAAGTGAAACATGGTTTTGATTAAAACAGCCTGTTGGCTCAATAATCTTAGTAATTTCAAAAACATCCTTAATGTGGAAGAAGAACACTGCAATGTCAGAAATGGCCTTGGGGCCCATTATAAACAGCAACAAAATAAATAAGGAGAAGAAATGAGGGGTCATGAAAACAAAATTAAGCTAATGTTTCAAATTTTGACAATTATGAATTGTTCCTCCAAGAAGACATTAAAAAAAATAATTCAGGCGCTATTAGATAAAATACAAAGAGAATAATTGTACATGTATGAGTTTCCCATGGGACTAAGCATGCTTTAAAAGCAAAACTTGACTTAGATTTCCCCTCTTCCCCCCGCCCCCCTTTCTAGCCAGCAACTGGGCAGGTCTCATGCAAACACAGACTTGCTTCTCAGAGTTCCTCCAAAAACTCGTCTCTAATTCCTTTATGAGCCATTAAAAGATGATGACCAAGAAAACAAACAAACAAAAATTACAAGCATATTTTCTATTGGGGAAAAAAAAAATAAAACAATATCCCCCGTTATGGACCCATTTTTTTTCCCTTTTTTTTTGTTAGGAAACCGAAACAAGCAAATATAACAAAATCTGTGTTCATAACATGGCAATATAGTTAATATATACAAATATGTACAGTATAAAAATGCATCAAAGGCGCAACTTTTCATCCCAACAAGCTGCAGTGCCCAAGGAAGAGCAGCTTGGCCCCCCCTCCACTCTAAGTTACAGGCAATATGTTCTATACAGCATGCACTGGTTACAAAATCAGTGCAGAGCACTGAGACATTCTACAGAGAAAGTCACTGTGAGTCCTCTCCAAGGGAGTCCCGTTGGTTTGTTCGTATAAAAAACGTGGTTCATCTTTCCTTTTTGCCATTTGGAGTATATACATTTTTTTATTTTTTTATTTTTTTTTTTTGAAAAGAGAAATGAGCTTTTGATTCTTTATTTTTATGACCATTTTTGAAACGAAATTCCAGCCCTAACACCACGGGTCACAGATGGGACCTGAAGATGCTGCCAATAACAAACGTGGGCAGGGGCAGAGCGAAACCATCCAATTTACTGTTATGGCCAACTGTGCTCCTTTCTTTAAGTGGGGGTGGATCTCTCTTGATTCCTGCTGACAGGTTCCAGATAATAAAACCCAAAATAAACATGCAGAATAAAAAAAAAAACAAAAACAAACAAAAACAAAACAACAGAGGATTAAGAAGTGGTGCCTGAGCACGAGACAGGAGGGGGTATTGTACCAGAGACAGGACGGAGAAGTACCCTGAGCCAGATAAGAACTGTTGAGCTTGTCAGCTTTTGCAACCTGTATTGCACATCCCAGCGTTTGCTGCCTTATAAAGCCAAAATCCTGCCCTGCTCATCCTGCAGGCCCTGCTGCCAGCAGTGCCCAGCTGGTCCCTCAGCCAGGGGTGGGTGCCTGGGCAGGAAGAGATGCACAAACACACCCGGGTGTGCCCGTGTCTGCACACACATGGTGCATGGAGGGGGGAATATCTGCAGCTACCTGCACATCTCCACACAGGTATGCATTTATTTAATGCTCCATGGACCAGTTCCTAAGTGAAAACCTTGCCCACATAAATCCTCCACACTGGAGACAGTTGTGTGGACGTTTCCACACCGTGAATCCCTGGGGATGGGGACAGCATTCCCTGCCTTTAAAGTAGCTGCTTTTTTTCCAAGGTGTTATTTTCATTTTCTTCTTGAAATACTGATCTTTTTTTTTCCCCCTGCTATCTCCTCTAAGAAGTATAATGAGAGAATTTGTTGCCTTTACTTAGATCAAAAAAGGGAAAAAAAAAGAAGTTTGCTCAGCGAGATGGTGTGAACTGAAGTGGGGATGTACGATCCGCCAGGATTAGTATTTAATCTGTTGTCTCAAACAGGGCTTTTTACAAAGGCCTGGAGACATTTCATGAGCTGAGAGGGATGATGAACTGGAAGTTTATTACTCTGCAGTTAAGTCCACTGTACAGCAAGTTCGCTTTTCAAAATACTCCCCAGGAAATCATTGTGCAGACACTTTGGTACGAGAAACAACAGTGTCATCCTAAACTTCATCTGCTCTTCACTTTTTTGCCAGCACAGTGAAAACAAAAAACCACCACTAGCATAGACTGGAGAATACCGGGATAAAAGTGCTTGCACTGGGATAGAAGTGGTCCAGCAAAACAAAAGGAGCTGTACCAGTATAAAGTGCTTTATAGTGATACAACTGGTTTTACATCAGGACTTTTACCAGCATAGTCACAGCAATACCAAAGTATTGCAGTCTCCTCCCTGACATAACTCTGAACCTTCCGAAGTGCAGAAGGTTTAATTTGTCTGGAGATAGAGGCTGTTTGCTGAAGTTGTTTTCAAAACTGCCTAAACATGTTGGGAATGCGAGGTTAGGACCATGAGGACAGTGTTTGGGGTTGTGCAGACAGAGGGTAAATCTACTGAATTTGAAGGAGTGGCTCTGGATTTACACTGGAATAATTCCACCCAGAATCTGGCTTCTGTTTTTTTAGACATTGGACTGAAACCAAATCAGAGGGAGGCGGTTGCAGGGAAGATCAGGGAGGTGCTGGCAGGACGTGGCACAGCATGTGTGGGATGCAAAGGTAAGTCAGCTTCTGTTAACAGTGCAAATCCATTATTTTATTCTTTCATTTTCCCTCGGAAGGAAGTTGAAGAATTAAAGTTCTAAATTCTGTGTGTTTGTGTGAAGCCAACCACTGCAGGAAATAATTAAGAAAAGGAAAAAATCCAGGACAGCATTTCTTTCTGGAATAACAACCCAGTGGCTCACCCAGGGCCATCAACAGACAGATCTTGACTTCAGGTGCAGACAAATTAGGACCTCAGTTTGATGAAATGTGAATTGAAGGCTGCCTTTAGATGCATGTCATTTATTCACTTATTACAAGTCTAAAAATATTACACTTGCTGTGGTGCAATCTGTCACATAACACAGTGGTCAGAGGTTGGGCTCCATGACTGTGGGGGTCTTTTCAAACCTAAATGATTCTGTGGCATAAAAAAAGGCTCAGTTTGCACCCACCAATGTCCAACTACAACACTTCAGCACCGTTATGGAAAAGTTCTTAGTTTTAGTGAAATTCAAGACCCTCTTGCTGACCATTCCCAACTGAGGACAGAGGTTTGGCAACAAGGAAAGCTGGGATAAATTGTGAGGGGGAGCAGGAAACCCAGGTGAGCAAAACCACAGTGTCACTGACCTGCTGTGAAACCCAGCGAGAAGCTGGTCTGAGGGCCCCTCTTGGGAGGTCAGTACCCAGGAATTACAGCTCTATAGCTCCTCACACAACTTCCTAGGAACACAAATAATATGTCAGGCTGTGAGAAGATGGGCACAAACCAGTAGCACTTGTTCCCAATCCATCGAGGTGGCTGGATCGGTGCTCTTGCTTGGGGACAGATGGCCTTTAAAGCCTGCTGTAATTGCAACATATTGATCTGGAATCTGTGATCAATACTGTCTTTATAGAGAGAATTTTAAATATAAATTGCATCGTATATCTGTTGGCGAAGACAAAAGGCCTGTGTGATGGAGATCCACCTCTGCTCCAGCCTGGGAGTTACGATGGCACAGGGAGAGGGGACGTGGCCTCAGCACAGCCCGGCCTCGGGGGCTGAGCAGAGTCAGTTCTTCAATCTCTGCCAAAAATCAGGCTGCCATCTTCATTCCCTTGTTTTTTTAACAGGTTTGAGCCCAAAATAATATCCACAGCACAGCCAAACCATGGGCTGCCCTGAGCTGCTGTGCTGGCCCGTGGCTGGATCAGGCCCTCAGGAACCAGCACAGAGCCAATGTCCCCTCAGAGAACTCCCACCAGAGCTGCCCCAGGACAAAACTCCCTTACTTCTGTATTTCCTGCTCACTCAGGGCAGCTTGTTTTCCATGGATGTTCCCAGTGGGAACACACCTTTCTGTTTTAGGAACTGAACCGTGGGTATAAATTAATCAATAAATATGGCACTTTATCAAAACATGATTAAGGAAAGAAAAAAAAGGCCAAAAATTAGGGAAACAATCCTTGCCATGGTAATGAGTAAGAGTTGACTTGATAGCCTGTAAAACTGGCTTGGAAGGCTTCAACCCCTATCCTGCTAATATATAATTATTGATTTTTAAAATGACTTTTTGTATCCTCCCTGATCTCTAAAAAAAAGCTGGGAAGGTCAGTCTTGTAAATACTTTTACAACTAGGTAATAAACCCCCTGATAACTTGCATTGACAAGTAATTACTGGGCAGGTTTTTTAGCAGATTCTCAAAGATTTTTTTTTTTAACCCAACAATTATTATTGTACTAATGACAACTATTTTTAAAGTTAAGTGTCCTTCTCCCTCTCAGCTTAAATAATAAGAGCCTGGAAAAAACACCTGAGACTGATCCACTGAAATTCTTATATATTAGGCTCCAAAGGGATGCTAATTGCATCTCCTTCTTTTAAAATAGAACAATTTTTTAAAGGTGATATGGCTTATTTTGACATGGGTGGTGGTGGGAAGGGAGCTGTGGTTTCTGAATAAATCTTTCAAAGCAGGGTAACAATTCTCACTGCTTTATTGCAGTGCAGGAGCACAAACAGCTTGGATATGTGGTGTATCAATATGCCACTTGTTAATAAGCAAGGACGTGAATCATAAATATTCGGCTGTTTGATCACCAGGCTTTTAATTAATGTTTTGATGATCTCCAATAAGAATAAAAGTCAGAACGATAGATATTGAGTAGCTGCGACAGAGAAAAGATGCAATGATTTTCTGTGTTACCTGATTTATATGACAGATAAACTATCAACCCATCCAGTTCCGCACAGAGAAAGAGAGAGGAGAGATGTACATTTTCTTTTTTTATATCATATTGTAAAAAAAAAAATAAAACCCAGTTAATTCAAATGTGTACCTAAAACGTTCCCAGAGGACAGCGGTGCCGGCAGAACGAGCGAGGCTTAGCTCTGTGTAATAAAGGTTTGTGGCCACGTTTTTAAAGGAAGTAGCTGTTCCCACATTTGCCTGTGCCAGAGCCAAGCCTCCTGAGCAGAACCTGCTGCTGGGATGGCCAGACCTCCCTCAGGGGGACTGGCCCTCCCAAAATCTCCCTGGAGGTTTGCACCTCTGGGGTCCCAGGTGCTGACAAGACAGGGCTGTGGGTTTTTGCTGCTCACTGGCTATGGGACACCAGCAAAGCCTCTGTTCTGCCAAAATTGAGCAGCTGGTGAGCCCAGGAGCCCCAGCCCTGGTTGCTGTGGGCACTCAGGGCCTCCCTTTTGCAGGAAGAGGCTCCTGCCAGCTTCTCTGGCCACGACCACAGGGGACAAACCCAACTGCATGGAGGATTCTACCAGAGCAGACAGCAAAACACCAGCAACAGGGCACAGCATCAAGAGCTTCACATTTGGCTGCTGCAACAAGCCAAATATTTTTTCTGTGCACCCAAAAGCTCAGGGAAAGGAGCAGGCCTGGAGATACACACACGTGGTTTCTCCCAGGTGGTGATTCACTGTTGGCGCTCGTGGCCTTTGGGTCCACGCCACAGGCCCCACCTTGGGCAACTTCACCAAATAACTCTGATCTGGGCTGTGCAATTTAACAGCTTCTGAGGAGCTCGATGCTAATGCATTGATTTTGCTTTAATAGAATTTTGTTGTCAATGGCCAGTGCTCAGCACGGCACAGGCTTCAATCTTAACCCATCTGAAGGCTCTGCTCGTTTCCAGTTGAGCTCCGTTCATTTCCAGTTGAATAGGTTAAGCAAAGACAGACCTCACTGTTCTCAATTCACTTTATGATCCTCCCATCATAAAAAATAATATCAGCACCTTGCTTTTCATGTCAGAACTACATTTGAGCTGCTATTCCCTATGCCCATGAGTAAATCCCATAAAAGCCGCCCCGTTGTACTGTCGCTATTTTTCCTTGTGGATGATTGATTGATGGATGAGTGCTGACACTTCAATGAAGCTATTTCGACTGCCATCTCAATCCGATGATGTGAGGGGTATATTTTCTGTCCATGCCTCATTACTTCAGAATGACATTCCTGGAACTTCATTTACTTTTTCCCTCCTTCCCTCAAGCGCCATATTTTTTCCCATCTAGGTTATGCATGCCATAAAAAAAGCAATTTGCTATTATATGTGGCATAAGGGCAACACTTTCCCTAGGAGGTAAATAAGAAGGGCCTTTTTTTCCTCCTCCATGTTGAGTTTAGGGATCATGTCAAAATTTCCCAAGCAGTGCCAAAACAGGCCCTTCTGCACAAGCCGGGGGGAATGCAGTGACCATGTTCAGCCTGATTTTGTGAATGCTGCACTTCAATTAAATCCTTGAACATCGAAAACAAAACAACAGTAAAAGACACCCCAAAGCCCCCCCTTATTTGAGAAAGAGCCTCTTCTCCACTTGTGCGTCGCATACTTTGAATATTTCATTTGCCACGGAATAACGATTTACAACTTGACCCAGACTTATTTTTCCTTGGAGAATAGGGGAAGTTCATCGTTAAATGCAGAGATGGATTTGTCTGCTGGAGGTTGCTTTCGCTGAGCGAGAGTAAACAGGGCTGTGCCTGGTTTTCCAGGCAGTGCACTAGGAAACAGGAGGCTCGTGACATTGGCATATCCTGGAAGAGTCCGGGAGTTGACTCGGGACCCGATTTTAATCTGTGTAATACAGTATTCCCGTTAATAATAATGTATAATTAAGACATCCGTTAAAAATCCATAACGTTAATTTAATGGAGAAAATCTAATACAGTTCTATTGGAATTTTTACGTTAAATTAACTTTAACGGGCTTTTAATGGATGTCTTAATTAGATCTCATTATTAACGTGAATATTCCACAAATTAAAACTGCGATCTCGAAGTTTTAATGAAAAAAGTTCCAAGCACAAATTCGGAATTGCCATCTCTGTAGCCCCCTTCTCCCCAGGTCTTGGTGGACTTGAAGGCACAGCACAGAACACGGACACCAGATTCTGATCCCATTTGTGGTGGCATAAACCCAAAATAACTCCATTGACTACGACAGAGAGTTTCAGATTTACACTCACCTAACTAAGAAAGGAATTCTACTTTTCTTCTTTTATATCTATATATAGATATTTATATAGTGATATTTATATATAGATATAGCTATATTTATATAATGTTCAATAATCTAACAATAGTACTTTTGTTTAAAAATCCCTCCATCCCATATGTCTCGTCATAAACCGTAATGGAGATTTAAATATATATATATATCTGAGGAATAAAACAAACTGAAAATAATCCATTTCAAACAAATCTTTGGCAGCAACATGGTTAAGCATAACTATTTGAACAACTTGCACAGAAGATTAACATTGTTCAGAGGTTTTTTGGCTCAGAATCTGTTTTAACTTAATAATTCTTGTACTTACTGTGATGTATTGATCCCTAGTGCAATGACTGGATTGGGCAACCCAGGTGCAACAGTAATAGCTGCACAGAATAGAAACATTTCCTTTAGACAAACTATCCCAAAGGGGTTATAAATAGGAAATGGACATTACCATGAAAAGTAAAGCTTCCAAAGTGACTGCATCTTGTGTAGCACACTTGGACATTAAACTATGAAGAATTTTTTTTTCCTGTCAAGTGTTACAAATTGACGAAATAAGTACATCAATGTTCTCAGTCATTATCTTACTTCAGTGGCACTTTGTTTCAGTGACAGCAAAAAGGGACAGTGGAGACCAGACAGCCCCAGTGCAGTTTATCAATGAAAATCTAATATTGTCCATAAGCAGGGGAGTGGAAATCAATACTTCATTACCAAATTGTTAGTGAGGATGAAGAAGAATAGCAGGAGTTTTTTTGGCAGTCTTCTGGGTCCGGGTTGCTGTGAGTTCAGTGTCAGGGCCGGAGTGACGTGCAGGGCTGGGCGGGAGCCTGGGCTGGAGAGCTGGGACTAAGGCATTCGTCCTGCAAGCACAACAACAACAGCCACTGTCACCAGGTTGTACTGACTGTGTACCTGCAGCCACAGAAATTCCTGGAAATGAGGCAGCTTTGCTTTACTTTGTCCACCCACAGGCTCACAGAAGGCAAGGACACACAGGTGGGAACAAAATCCCGGCTCCTTGTGTCTGTAACTGGGCAGGGATTAGTTGGCAAACTCCAGCTGGTGCTGTGGCTCTGCCTGGTACACCAAGCACTCTGCATCTCTGCTTTCCCCTCATGTTGCTTAAACCAGAACAATGAACTCCTTTTTACAGCCAGCCAAGGACATACTCTAAAATCCTCATGGTACTTTGGACATCTCAGTACCCACATGGTGTTTAATTACTGTGTTATTTCTGTTGTTGTGGCACTTCCCCAGCATTAAAAGCCACTGTTCTTCCAATGGACCTTTTCCATTCTGCAGCTGCTAAAAGTGCTAAGTGACTCAAGTTGTGAAGTTACTGCTACACAGAGACAGAGGGGGCTTGTTTTATTTAATTTCAAGATGTGAGTTTAAAAGTTCAGCCCAAAGTTGAGTTCTGTTTTGCTTATAACCTGGGAGAAAGATACTGAGAAAAGCAGGAGAAAAAAACAACTGGAAAAATAGGGTGAGAAATGGGGCAGGCAATAAGTAGAGTGAAAGTCAATCTGGAGAGAGCCCAGAGGAAAAAAATAGACCAGCAGTGGGCAAAGAGAAATATGTTACTGAAAAATATATTATCTGTTCAAGGCCATGGATAGTTCAGCAAACACAACTCAAACCCTGCGGTGTGTTCCCTGTGTTCTGGCTAAATCAACTGGAAATTCAGTAGTAGCTTTATTTAAAGTAAAATAAACTCAGCTTCTCAAAAAATTCCATATGAAAACAAAAAAGTCCTTTGACTTCATGCTATTTAGTTTATAATTTGGTCTGTTTTACAATATCTTCACCTTTTCAGTTTTCACAGCGATGCTGAGTCTTGCACTGGCAACCCAAACCTGCTGTGGAGAAACTGTTGGAAGAAGAGGTTTTGGCAGCTGAATGTAGAGACTTTTGGCAAGTGGGGATGCATGGAAGCCAGTTTGACATTGTGGTGAATGCCTTAAATCATTATTCCCACTTAAAATATACTAAAAGCAACCTATGTTGACACTTTAAAATGTTGTCTTTAGGTTTCAGGGGTAAGGCTCTGGAGCCATTCACACACCTTGCAAAGCCATTATTTTCCACTGCAGAAGGGCAGAGCTGAGCCAGTTTACACCTTGTTCAGATTATAAAGAAATCCAGAGGCCTTGCTATTGTAAGGCTGGAGCTGAAATAAAGCAACACCAAACAGTCCAAGTGCAGCCCCCCTCTGGGATGGCACAGGAATTTGGCTTCACCTCTCCAAGCAGATGTTTGCAGCCCTCACCAGGGTGGAAAACTACCTGCGAGATGCCACCTTAGTCCTGCCTTGGGTCATGCAAAGCCCTGAAACATCTGCCTCCCTCCTGGATGTGGGATACCAACACTGTGGGCTGGTCCCACGTGGGCCAACAGGAGGGGCAGTGGTGACACAGCTCAGTGCAGCAGTGATGGCTCTTGATTAGCTCAACTCTGCCTCCAGAACATAGTTAGGACAATTAAACAGTGTGTAAAGTGCTAAATCTGGGGAGAAGTCCTGAAGTTACTGCAGAGCATTAGTTTCCTGCCAGAGGGAAATATTTATCAGGGGTTTGGATTGGAAGAATGAAAAAACAAACTCCTGCTTCCTTTTCTTCTTGTTTCATTGTGAAGAAGGCCCTGAGGTTTTGGATTAGACCAGCTGTAAATTCAGCACAGCAATATTCCTGGTCACTCCCATGCCACAAGGGGAGCGTGCACAGAGCAACACTAAGGACAGTGTTAGCCCAGGGCAGAGCTCTTCAGAGGCACATCAGTCAGGGAGGAGATCCACGAGAAACTCTTCTGGCAAGAAATAAACTTTTAAGGCTCAGTGTCCATGTACTTGACTAATGGTAATGTCTACACACAAGTAAAATCAATTGGGACTTGGCATTGATTTCCATGGGATAAGTACTTCACCCCTAAGGTCTTTTGGCCAACTGAAGTCTACATCCTTGTGGTTTTCTTTTTCTTTTTTTAATTTTATTGATACCTCTGCAGGCTGGGACAGGACTTTGGGAAATTAATTAGTGTGAGCCCTGATCAATAAGGGTCATAGTTTATGTATTTCATTATCAAGTCTGTAAGAGATTCAGGGAGTATGTGGAGAGCTTGTCACCCACAGTCAGAGCACAGCCACTTGGATGTTCAAACAGCACTTGATGGGCAAAGTCTGCTTCTTCCTGGGCATTTGCTGAAATGCAGTTCAACCTGTACCATAAAGAAATCTTCATCATTTAAATTGTTATGAAAATGGAGTTGAAGGTGCTCATTGTGCTGACGTGTTGTACAGCATATGTGAAATATCAGTTGCAGATACTGAAGCTTTGCTTTTATTTAACACTAATTATCAAGCCATCAACAGCTGTAGAGTCGAATCTGTTTGAATGCGGATGTGTCAGGACTCAGGATGCCTTCTAACAACAGCCTTCCCACTCCTTGTCCATGGCACAGCTTCCCTCTCCTCATTCAAACCTTGCCATAAAAACACAGCTGTGAAACCCCTGAAACAGGAGCTCTCAGACACGTCTGCAGCCTGACACAACTGCCCAGGGCACGCCAGCAGCTCGTGGGGTGTGTCCGGCCTGGGCTGGCTCCGGCTGCTTGGCCGAGTCCTGCACAGCTCCTGCTTCACAGAGCCACACTCAGCTTACCCTCACCCATCCCAAACCACTCCCTACATAGCCCAAACCCCTTCTCACACACCCCAAACCCTGTGCTTTCTCTGGTGTCTCCTTTTCCCTTTTCTCCACGGCGGTACCAAGGAATGACGTGGCTCCCTGGGGGTAGGACAGAGTATTTCACAGAATATGCTGAGTTGGAAGGGACCCACAAGGATCATTGAGTCCAACTTTTGTTTCTTTAAGTGGGTGGCCCATACAGGGATCAAACCCACTGCTATTAGTACCATGCTCTGACCAGCTGAGCTCATCTCAGGACACGGGCTACTTGCTCAGGGGTTGGTTTCCAAGTTACAGAATCATGGAATCACAGAATGGTTTGAGCTGGGAGGCACCTTAAACATCTTCTTATTCCAACTCCCTGCCATGGGTTGGAACTATCCCAGGTTACTCCAAGCCCCATCCAACCTGGCCTGAAGCACTTGCAGGAATGGGGCATCCACAACTTCTCTGGGCAATCTGTGCCAGTCACCACCCTCACAGTAAAGGCTTTCTTCCATATACCTAATCTAAATTTCCACTCTTTCAGTTTGAAGCCATTCCCCCCTGTCCTGTTACTCCTGATGAAGAGTCCCCCCTATGAGCTTCCTTGTAGGCCCCTTCAGATAGTGGAAGGCTGCTGTGAAGTCCTTTGCTTGGGGACTGCTGTCACTGTTTGCTTTTTGGGATCTCCAGAAGCACCAACCTCTTCAGTGGCTGGTCCAAGGTGTGGTGGAACTCTAGAGCCAGGTTGATGACAGCAGGCTCATGTGTTTATAATGTGTTCTTTGTATTTCCAGATCTCTGCTAATATCATGTCACCATCTCCTATTTATGTAATGGGATAATAAAAATGACAATTTTCATCTGTGATCCACCCACCTCAGCCTATGGGAGTCTGTGGATCAAAACTTTGTCATGCTGCAGCTGTACCTGTAGTAATGAATTGCAGGACTCTTTAAAGGCCACGAAGGAAGACACAGACAGTCCCTTTGTGGTTACCAAACATGTTATCTCTAGATGTCATTTTCGACCTACTTTTGCTAGATTTTTGCAGCAGTGGAAAATCTGTTCCTTAATGAACCATCCTTACCTAGATACGGAGAAACCAGCAAATCTGGATATATTTTATTTCATTTAGGACTCCTCTCACCATGAATTACAATATTACAGGCTCTAAATGCCTTCTCGTTACCCATAATTATAACTAAAATTATATCAATCTAAACAGTAACTACTCAAATGATTCCTCCTGATTGGGAGGAGCAGGCTCCCTTGAGTTATCCCTGCCCATCCATTTTAAAGCCTTGTGCAGGAATAGCTTTCCAGAAGGTCATTTAGCAGCACATTAAATAAATAAACAGAACATATTTGTTTCGGAAAACACACTCTAGGAGGGTGGGAAAGCATTCTGGGAGAGGTAAGAATAACCCTCATGAAAACTAATACTTTGAGCTCTTCTTCATCCTCTCTGAGGCTGCAGCACCCACCCAGGGACAGGTAGAGGCTCCATGTGGTGCCAGCAGGGAAAAGTCCCTTGGGTTCTGCACACTGAAAGGTGCCACAAGTCACTAGAAGGCCCTGAGCCTCTTGTGGCCCTGGAAGAGCCACCAGTTTTTGCATATTCCACCTCAGCCATCAGCCACATGGAGAGGGAAGTGGGGAAAAGGCTCTCCTTTGCTGTCAGACATATTTCTGTGCTCTGATTCAAGTTCGTGAGAGTGTGGGGCAAGGCAGAGGAAAAGAAATGTGGGCTCTAGCTCAGATGTTCCTGGGGTGTGTCTACCTAAACACAAAACCCACTGTGGTAACACCCAAGTGGAGGAATTTAGAGACCTTGTTGCCTGGGCTGATGGAAACTATATTTAATAAAAACTCGAAGTCATTAAGTTGCATTTATCTCAGAAAACTCCTTGTTGAAGACATTTTGTTAAGAGGCCAAAGGGAGGTGAAAAGCCTCTGGATTTCAGCAGAAGGACCATCAGAGCCCACACCTGATCTGGTGCAGGCACCTTCTCTGTGGGAGGTCAGAGAAGTTTTACTGCTTTATCTTGGAAGGGTTTTGTGATATAAAAGAAGAATCTGCTTGAAATCTGCCAAAATAACCCCCAAACCTTGCTTTCAGAAACTTCTGCTATCTGTGCCTGTAGTTTGTATGACAGGTCTGTTATCTGTGGCCCTGGCTGAGCAAAACTCTT